CCGCCTCGGCCTCCCAAAGTGCTGGGATTACAGGCTTGAGCCACCGCGCCCGGCCCATTCTTGGTGATTTTAAGGGATCGGATCGTATTGTGAAAATTTGGTTTCCTTTCCTTGAATTTGAAAGAAAATTTAGCATTTGAGGATGTTTCTTTTGTTTCTCCTTCTAGGTAGGTGATTTTTTTTTTTTTCAACCGGGTGCTGGTTTATTTAATTTGAAGCTATTGATAAAATTATTTCAATTGCCCCCATGTGATTCTACCCTGGAATAACTAAAAAAATTATTTAAAATGTCATTAATACTAGAAAATAGAAAAGCTCACTTTTTATGGGAACTATCGTTTTTTCAAGATGACACTGTTTTGTAAATTATAGACTTCCAATAAAGTCTTTGTGCCTTACTCTTACCACTAAGCAAGCATGGATATTGATTCCTATTGAAAGGCGTATAAGGTCATCTTTTTTTCCAGAAATGGAAAATATTCCCATGAAGCAATATTTTGAGGGGACGATTTTGTTTTGCTCTTTTTGTTCCATTTCTTCCAAAAATGGAAGAGAAACAAACTATGAAGAAGGTCATTATTGGTCAGCTACCATTGTTAGATTGTTGAGGAAATGATGTTAAACACATTTTTTTATCAAATTGTCTTTAGGGCTTTTATATGTTTATTTTCTTACTATGTTGACTTAGGTGACTATAAGAAGTTGTATCAAAGCAACTGATTCTGGAGAATTAAAGCAAATATTTCTAAGAACATAACTGGCAAATTTCAGTCTGAAATCAATTTGGCCACCAATCAATTTTTAAGGGTACAAATAGGACGTAACAGGCTCAGATGGGACTTGGATAAAGAATATACAATTTTACATTGAAGAAATTGTGTCAATGTGTTACCCTCAATGCTAGAAATTCCCAAGTTGTGACAATAGTTCAGAGCCTTGTTAAAAGCCAGAGTGGAGGCTTGCAGCTCCAGCTGGAAAGAGAGGCATTATGGTCTAACGTAGGACAAATTTTAAAGCCAGCGTTAAGTTCTGAGTCCAGCTTTGTAAACTTGAGTACGATTTTTGATCTCTGGGGTTTCAGCCTTGACTTCAAAACAAAATTTCCACCAAGTGCTCTTTCACTGTGAGGCATAGCTATTAAAGAAGAAAGAAGCCTACCTATTTGCTAGAGCGTTCAAACTGTTTTGATAAAGCTCAAAAGTTACCTAAATGAGCTCTCTCTCCCTAAGCACGTTTTCATTTTTATAAAAAAGTTACCTATACTTTGCCTATAAATTTAAAATACTTTTCACTTTCTCTGACTTCATTTAAAATGAAAAGAACTAAAGTGCCAATTTTAAAAGATGTTAGCTCCCATGCTTGGTTCTTTGCCATATTTTTTTTAAAACCTGCTACAATTTTCTGCCCCCTTTAAAGCCTCGGGCTATAGGCCTTCTCCACCAAAGGAATGTTAAGAAGTGATAAGGACACTCTGTGAGCAGGAGGGGCCAGTTTGCAAAGGAATTGCTTATCTTGGCCGCTCTTGAACACAAGCTGGGGCCCTCTACTGCAAAGCTCTGGCATGTTTTTTTCCCCCAAGCTATCCTCCATGCTACTGACAGTGATTTTCCCTAAATAAAAAACTGCTTCAAACCCCTCATTGTCTTTCCACTGCCTTAAAGATGAAGTCCAAATTCTAGAACATGGCCCACAACATTTGGTGCTTCGCCACCTCTTCAGCCTCTCATTTGCTGTTCACCCAGTTCTCTGTTCCTCTCCTTCTCACACCTTGTGCAGCGGCCACATAGATAACGTGCAGTTTTTCTAACTTGCAATGATGTCTCAAATTCCAAGGCATGTCTGGTACCACACAGCCTGCCTGGTAAAATCCTAGACTTCTTTCAAGATAAATTGAAAAAACACCTCGATGAGTTCTTTCTACCTCCTGCAAGTAGAATTGACCGCTGTCTCCTTTGTGCCCTCACTTTCAACACCATCCTGAAATACTTATTATACTTAGGTTAAATAATTGTCCTTCTTACTGAACTGAAATTTCTCTGAAGGGAAAGACCACGAATTATTATGAATTATTTATCATTGTATTCCTAGTACACAGCCCACAGCACACATCAAAAAAAAAAAAAAAAAAAAAAAAAAAAAAAAACTTTTGTAAATGATTGAACAAATTAATAAACACCCAAGGCCCCCAGTAAGCATCAAGGCCTAAGGAATGCATATCTGGATTTCTAAACAATCATAAGATTTTACAACACCATGTTAAACACCAGGGACATCAGAGAGCTTTTAGTCTAAATCTTGTTAGAGAGGCCAGCAAAGACCTCCTAAAGGAAGTGGCATTGAACTGAGACTTGAAAAGCCAGTAGTTAAGCAAAGACAGGGAAGCAAATATTTCAGATGAAGGGAGGAGCTGGCACAAAGTTTAGGACATGGAAAATGGAATGGTGCATTCACAGAGTGAAGAGATGTGCAGAATGGCTGGAGCCCCAACAGGGAAGGGCAGAGTGACGCAATAAAGCTGGGAGGCAAACAGGACTGGACTATGCAGAGTCTTGCAGATGTTCACAAAGAAAAGTGCAGCGCCCTCCCGTAGTCTGAACACACCTCCCCACCCGAACCCTTGGAATTCTGACTCCAGCAGTCCCTAACGTCCTTCTGAACAGTTAGGAAACTTGAAGGAATATGAGTATTTGTAGTCAAAACTACTGGAAGGCCTCAATTATATGCTTTGCCTTTAAATTGATAAATATTTACAGACTAAGTTTAGTGTAATTTTTTTTTTTTTGGCTTTTTTCCTCTGTTAGTAAAAGTATGCTTGCTATTAGAATGTTGAAAACATACTGTTGCTCTTCCAAGAATGCTCATTTTTCCAGATGCTTGCATTCATTCTGCATGTGCTATTTTGTCATTTGGCTTGCTTAATTTATCATGTTCACATTCAGATGCAATGTGAAAACCCATTGTGTTAGTTTGTTCTCACATTGCTATGAAGAAATAACTGATGGGATCTAATTAAACTTAAGAACTTCTGCACAGCAAAAGAAACTATCATTAGAGTGAACTGGCAACCAACAAAATGGGAAAAAATTTTTGCAATCTACCCATCTGACAAAGGGCTAGTATCCAGAATCTACAGAGAACTAAAACAAATTTACAAGAAAGAAACAAACAACCCATCAAAAAGTGGGCAAAGCAGATACTTTTCAAAAGAAGATATTTGTGCAGCCAACAAACATATGAAAAAATGCTCATCATCACTGGTCATTAGAGAAATGCAAATTGAAACCACATTGAGATACCATCTCATCCCAGGTAGAATGACGATCATTAAAAAATCTGGAGACAACAGATGCTGGAGAGAATGTGGAGAAATAGGAACACTTTTACACTGTTGGTGGGAGTGTACATTAGTTCAACCATTGTGGAAGACAGTGTGGTAATTCCTCAAGGATCTAGAAATAGAAATTCCATTTGACCCAGCAATCTCATCACTGAGTAAATACCCAAAGGATTATAAATTGTTCTGTTATAAAGACACATGCACACATATGTTCATTGCAGCACTGTTTACAATAGCAAAGGCTTGGAACCATCCCAAATGCCCATCGATGATAGGCTGGACAGGGAAGATGTGGCACATATACGCCACGGAATACTATGCAGGCATGAAAAAGGATGAGTTCATATCCTTTGCAGGGACATGAATAAAGCTGGAAATCATCAATCTCAACAAATTGACACAAGAATAGAAAACCAAACACTGCATGTTCTCACTCATAAGTGGGTATTGAGCAATGAGAACACGTAGACACACAGAGGGGAACATCACACACCAGGGCCTGTTGGGGCAAAGGAGAGCTAGGGGAGGAATAGCAGGGAGTGGGGTATTTGGGGAGGGATAACATTAGGAGAAATACCTAATGTAGATGATGGGTGGATGGAAGCAGCAAACCACCATAGCATGTGTATACCTATGTAACAATCCTGCATGATCTGCACATATACCCCAGAACTTAAAGTATAAAGAAAAAGAAGAAAGAAGTGAGACTGGGTAATTTGTAAAGAAAAGAAGTTTAATTGGCTCATGGTTCTGCAGGCTATACAAGAAGCATAGCACTTCTGCTTCTGGGGAGGCCTCAGGAAACAATCATGGCAAAGACAAAGGGAAAGTGAGTATGTCTTACATGGTTGGAGCAAGAGAGAGTGTAGGGAGGTGTTCTTATGTCTCATGTTTGCATGCATGTGTTTATACTAGAGAGCAACGGTGACCTAGAATTCATTCCATTGCCTGGTTATCTGGCTCTTCAGTCAGTATCTTAGGTTGGAGCCAGCGTTGCCTATAATTCCATCACAACTCTGAGCATCTATTTTTGAAAGAAGAAAAAAAGCATGGGAGGGGAAACTTAGAATTGACTCAACCTCTATTGAACTATAAGAACATTAAATTTAATAGTGTTTTGTTTTTGTTTCAGTTTTTATTGAAGAAGTAAGATTGTCACTAGCAGATGCAGTCACAGGTATGGGAAATAACATTTGTTCCATATAATTATTATAAGCTTCCACCTTTCTTAGCATAGACAGTTTCCCAAATGCAGCTTCAAGTCACCCCTTTCCCTTTAGAAGCATGATAACAATAATAGCCAATGTATATGTAATGCCCTATCTGTGCCAAGTACTACTAACACACACATACACATGCACATCACATGCACACACATACCACAGGCACACACATATTTAAACTAATTTAGTTCTCACAATGACATTTTGAGGCTGGTTTTATTATTGTACAGATGAGAAAACAAAGGTACACTTTCTCTATCTGTAAACCTCTGCTATGCAGAAATTCTGGAGGGGCTTCTGGCCCCTTAATTTTAAAATAAGGCCGAAAATACAATACTTACCACATAGCAATTCTCTAAAGATTAAATAAGATATATATAAAGCACTTAGCTCAGGGCCTGGAGGGATGTGATGAAAGTTGTCTTTTGAGATGGTCCACTCAGCCACCTCATTCTTAATCACTTTCTCAACTTCTATTTTATACAGAATTTGTGAGCATAGCAACATCAATTACCCCTCATATGGAAAAGAAAATTCCAGGATTGCCCACAGAGAATTACCTCCCATCAGTGATAATCAGTTTGTTTTTATTTTTAAATGATGGCTCTGAAATCATTGTTGTGATGCAACCCTATTTTAAGGGACCTGTCACGGCAGGGAAACTGACAAACACTGAGAAACATTAAAAAAGGGGAGCTAAGTAGACACAGCCTCTGCTATGCAGGAATCCTTGCCTCTGGAATATCTCACAGAAATAATACTATGAGTTAAAGAAATTAAAACAATGTAGCAAAGCACAGAAATGATGTATGTGACCATGAAATAGTGGGCCAGATAAAGGGGATCTAATAGTGCAGTGGCACGGAGGCAAGCCAAGTTCAGCTCAGACCTGGGCTCAGCTCCATCCCAGCTGCTGACTCAGGGTGATTTCCGCTGCAAGATTTCTATTCCCTTAATTTTAAAATGGGAACAATAACGCAGTGCTTATCTAACAGCGTTTCTCTAAAGGCTAAACAAGATGTATTTAAAAGCGCTTAGCTCAGAGCCTCACACATTCTTGGTGACTGATAAATGAAAAGCAAAGCTGGGTGCAGAGATAAGAGTAGCCAGGTGGCGGTCTCTCTTGTTATTTTTCAGGGGAGAAGAAGAAATTCTGGAGCTGCTGCAGGGAGGGATGTGGGGGAATTTGTGTTTCATGATATGTTTTATGTTCACTCAGTCACCTCATTCTTGGTCCTTTTCTTGACTTCTCTTTTATGCAGATGAGCAGATACTGAGCATGACCCCAGCCATTCCTGGTGCTGACGGAGTTTCAGAATCTTCTGGTAGAAACCATTTACGTCCAGACCAGAAAAACGGTATGTTCTTAGCTTTAAATAGTTACTCTGGAGTCACTTGTGGTTGAACTCTACGTGAGCTGTAACTCATGAAAGTTCTCAAACTTTCATGACTGAAAACCCATGTGTTTTACTTCAAAGCCCATCTACCAACCATAACTATCACCTTGACAAAGAAAGAGAAGGCAAGCCCCAATTAACCTTTATACATAAAGCCTAAAGAATGAATAACTATACTTTAGTCCTTGGTTATGTGATACAACGTGGTATACTATGTAATCTGTAATAATTAAATTCCAGAAAATTGTGTGGTCTTGGTAGTAAGAGGGCTTCATGACATAAAATGTCAAGTGGAGACAGAGAAAAAAGGAAGATGTGGATTGACAGGGAAGGTTAGCACAGGTGGAGCAGTAAGGTAACCATACTATAAATTGCTACTGACATAGAATCCAGAGACTACTGGCAAAAGCTCAAATGAGACACAATAAGAGTTTAGATTCAGACAGTGGCTATGGTATAAATTTGGAAAATTAGTCACATGAGCCCTCTTTGCATTAAACTGGCATCTATGTGGAGTGATGGCTCCCTATGCCTCCTTTCAACTCATCATTTTTACATTTTTAAAAATGCATTGCTTCTTGTGGAAGTCAAGAAGTGATTCTTCCAATACTTTCTCATCCCTTTCCCCTCAGATATGAGAAAATTTGCTAATTTCTCATCCATGAATATTTGCTGGGTAGTTAAAAGTAGATAAATTTTACCAGCTAGATGTTGAAAGTTGACCAATAACTCTCAAAATCTGATTAAGAAAAGGAAACCCACAAAACAGTTTAATTCCAAAATGATTTTTTTTGCACATGACTTATTTATTTGAAATTTTGCTTTATAGGAGAAAGGCAGCAACTTATGCATGATTTCTCTGAACCAGGTATGTTAATATTTGGCAAAGAATAACAGTCATTCCGTTTAAAACTATGTATTGCTTGTTTCAAATACCTAAGAAAATATGTCAAGGTTAAATAGAAGAGCTGGTGCACGCCTGTAATCTCAGTACTTTGGGGGGCCGAGGTGGGAGGTTGCAGTGAGCCGAGATCGCGCCACTGCACTCCAGCCTGCTGACAGAGCGAGACTCCATCTCAAAACAAAAACAAAAACAAAACAAAAAAAGAGCATATGTTGTTAACTTTATTCACACAGAATTATAAAGGCAAAGAAAATATTCTCTTTTTAAAATTAAAATAGGCATTTTTTATTTTTAAAAACATTATAGGGGCCAGGGGCAGCGGCTATTGTCGCAGAACTTTAGGAGGCGAGCCTGGTTAATTGCTTGAACCCAGGAGTTTGAGAACAGCCTGGGCAATGTGGCAAAATCCATCTACCAAAAATACAAAAATTAGCTGGGATGAGGCATGCGCCTGTAGTCCCAGCTACGTGGGAGGCTGGCTGAGGTGCAGAGGTCAATTGCCTGAGCCTGGGAGTTTGAGGCTGCAGTGAGCTATGATTGTGCCACCGTACTCTAGCCTTCGTGACCGAGTAAGACCTTGTCTCAAAAGCAAATAAATAAGTAAATAAAAATAAATAAAAACATTTTGGAAATAGCAATACATAATCTGATAGTAGTTTTCCTTGTAAGTTAGATGTTTTGCCTTTCTAACCAACCCTGAGTATTTGAGAAAGGCCTCATAAGAGCTTATAAAACAAATGAATTTCCCTCTTCCCTCCTGTAAAGAGTAAGGCATTTAAAATCATCTAATTAACTGGCACTGTATTTAAAGGGTAAATCTCAGCCTTGATTCATTTTTGGTCAATGCGACCACTTAGGGGCCATCTTGACCACCTCTGTTGAAGGGACATTTCCTCCCCCTCACTTGGTATCACTGTGTGTGCTCATTTGCTATTCAGCATTCTAACCCTCCCGTCACACTCAGCTGTGTCCATAGCTTACAGGGTAAAAAGCACATCATAGAAATTCATCACTATCGCATGCATTTAAGCTAAGTGATCAAGAAGGCTGGGAAACACCAGCAAGAGGAAATGCTACTTCTACTTTTTATCAATAATGGGGCTTTTCAATATGAATTAGCCAAATAAATGAGCCATTTTACCTTTATGTCTAAGCTTCCATTCTGTTTACTTCATCTGGAAGCAATACAAATATGGTATAAATATTTTTAGTGACTATATCAGAGACTATGCATAAGGATACTGTGGAAGTAATGCAAGCTTAGAATATAGATGACCTGCATTATAGTTATAATTCTACTTTTAACTAGTTGTCTGACCAAAGCTAAGTTAACCTTATTAGGCTTCTTTTCTTTATTTGTAAACTGTTCATACCAATTTGTTTCCAAAATTAGGATTCTATGATTTGTTCAATGCTCTTTTGTATGTTAAGACATATTTTCTTCATAACGTCCAAACTATGAAAGAATTTGTGAGCCGGGCACAGTGGCTCACACCTGTAATCCCAGCACTTTGGGAGGCTAAGGAGGGTGGATCACCTGAGGTCAGGAGTTCGAGTCCAGCTTGGCCAGCATAGTGAAATCTCATCTCCACTAAAAACACAAAAAATTAGCTGGGCATGGTAGCAGGTACCTGTAATCCCAGCTACTAGGGAGGCTGAGGCAGGAGACAGGAGGCAGAGGTTGCAGTGAGCCGAAATTGCTCATCACTCTTGTCCACTGCACTCCAGCCTGGGCAACAAGAGCAAAACTCCATCTCAAAAAAAAAAGAAAAGAAAAAAAGAATTTCTGGGTTTTTTTCCCCTCGTACCTGAGTAAAATGTCCACTGAGTTCTAATCTACGATTACACCAGTGAAGAACACTGGGTCTGGAATCAGAACCCTTAGGTCTTAGTTCTGTCATCAGCTAGTTGTGCAACCTGGGACAAAAGATTTATCACTCACAGTCCCAGTTTCCCAGGTTACTGTAAAGCACACAATTTTTAAAAAGATAAAGTATACATAATAGTATATGAATGTACTCTCAATTAAAAGACAAAGTGATGTTACCCTGATTTTATCTGTCTTATTTTTTTTGATTGCTATGTGGTCATTTATTTCAGACTCTCATAATTTTGCTACTCTCTTTATCTCCTGTAGTGATAACACTCATTATTTTTGGGGTGATGGCTGCTGTCATTGGAAAGATCCTCTTTATTTCTTACTGTATTCGCCGGCTGAGAAAGGTGAGAATTCAGTTTTTAATTTTGCTCTAAGTACCAGTGTGACTAGCTCTAGGAGAGTTTATTCCTCTGAGTTCAATTAAACTAAAAAGAGAAACAGAACTGCATTAAGCTCCATCTTTTTCAACTGGACACAGAAGTCACTGTGTTACTCTAGCAGAATTTTGTCTTTTGCATTTGCCCAATTAAAAGGAACCTCTAAATATAGCTCTATCCCCCATTTTCCGAATGAAAGATTGCTCCCTAGTTTTTTGTCTAACTTGCTATTATATATTTTTATGGATATTGAGGAAATACTAAGATTCTACTTATAGTATTTACTCTATTTGTGTATTAATTATTTAAAAGAATATATTTACATATGTTTAAAACTTTGGGGGAGGCCAAGGTAAGAGGATTTCTTGAACCCAGGAGTTTGAGACCAGCCTGGGAAACAAGGTGAAACCTAGTCTATACCAAAAAAACAAAAATTAGAAGGGTGTGATGGTGCACATCTGTGGTATCAGCTACTCAGGAGGCTGAAATGGGAGGATCACTTGAGCCCGGGAAATCAAGGCTGCAGTGAGCTGTGATCATGCCACTGCACTCCAGCCTGGGCAACAGAATGAGACCCTGTCTCAATAAATACAAAAATAAACAAAATAAAACTTTTGCTTTTTTTTATTCTCACATATTCTGAAACAAATTTTTCAAATTTCCACCCATGAATTCTTAACACCAGTGATTTTTTTGAATCACTAGTGCTTTTAAAATATATGTGTGTGTGTATATATATATATATATATTTTTTTTTTTTTTGAGACAGAATTTTCCTCTGTCACCCAGGCTCAAGTGGAATGGTGCAATCTCTTCTCACTACAGCCTCCACCTCCCAGGTTTAAATTATTCTCATGCTTCAGCCTCCATAGTAGCTGAGACTACAGGTGTGGGCCACAATGTCTGGCTAATTTTTGTATTTTTTTAATAGCAGAGATGGGGTTTCACTGTGTTGATCAGGCTGATCTCGAACTCCTGGCCTCAGGTGATCCACCTGCCATGGCCTCCAAAGTACTGGGATTACAGGCACGAGCCACCATGCCCAGCCCACTAATGCTACTTTTAAATCCATACAACACAGCTTATTGAAGTGTATAACTTTTGCTATCCCTTTCTATTCATGACATTTAAGACACAATGTGTGTGTGTGTGTGTGTGTGTGTGTGTGTGTGTGTGTGTGTGTTTATGATGCTGTCGCTGCCTCTGTAATCCTAGATCAGAAGTACTGAGTCACAGGAGATTGATACAGTTATGTTTTTATTCATCCTCTATGATTAATCTCTCTGTGATTTTTGGGACCATAACCACTATATAATTCTTTTAAAAAGGATAACTGAGAGGGGTAATAACACTGCAATTGTGAGACCATCAGAAGGAGAATGATAGTAAATCTATATAAAGTTCCTTTGCCTCTTTTCTTTTTTAACTGCTTCTAACAGTTAACTTCTACAACCATCCAATCCTATGATTGATTTTCATTATTCCATGTAAATATATCTTCCTTAAATAATACTTTTTGTTAATCAAAGGAAAGTATCTGAGAATGACTACTCTTGTATGAGAGATTTGATAAGGACTTTAGTATAAGATAACTTCTCTCGCCTGGAGTATAAAAGAGAAAAATCGTCTTCTTACATGGGCCTCTATGGCAAAGTGGGTTGTTTTCTCTCTTGGTCAATGTTTTAAAACCCGAAAAAGTCAAGGAAATATTTAGTTGGCAAAGTTCGGATAATTTTCTAAATGTTTACGGATGACTTTGGTTCTGGTCAACAAGATTCAGAGATCACACAGTTTATTTTTATTTTCACTTTCACTGTTTATTACAGCAGGCAAATAGGTAAGTGCCAGGGTTTGGGGTAATGTTTTCCCTACTGAAATACCAAATACCGTAGAGGAACACAAATACAAGTTTAAATCAATGCTTATAAATATCCATCAAATAGCAACTAGTAACAACAACCACAAAATCTCTGCAAAGGGCATTTCAATCAAAAGAAAAAATTAGAAAAAAATATTTTTAAGCTGAGGCATTTTACTTTTTACTGCCTTAAGGTTAGAAAATTGTGACATTAATATTTTTCTGATATTTCTTCATAGAAAAGCTCATTTGATGTACAACCTCACTCCTCACCTGACACAGATGTGCCTTTAAGCTCTGTTGAAATAGAAAATCCAGGTTGGTTTTAATGTTTGCAGCTTTTGCCTTTTAGGAAAGAAAACTAACTAGAGAGTTACTTCTTTCTGATTTGAGGGAGGGGGAAACCAGCTATGATTCATTTCTATTCTATTTCATTAATTCCACCTCTTTGATGTTTTAGAAATGTAAGCGTTTGTCTGCAGCATAGTGAGATTCTCCTTTAGACACAAAGCGTTTTGTTTTGTTTAAAAAAAAAAAACCAAATGAAATAGTATAAGTGAAAGAGAAAACCAAGTGTACTTCTTATGTCCAAAACTGCAGTTACATGTATAGGAGACTCTACAGTCAGTATGTGTAATAGCCTCAGATCTAAAATCAGATTTGGATTTGATTAACTGTGTAACCTTCAGCAATCTACCAACCTCACTTAATATAGAGACAGTGATAGTGTCAACCTCACAGAGTTTAATTTTAATGAGAATTAAATGAGCTACAACTGGTAAAGCATTTAAAACAGTTCTTGGTCATCCTAAGTCCTCACACCTGTTAGCTGTTATCAATATAGCAAGCCATCTAGCACATGCTTTCTCATCTCCACTCCCAGGTGCTAAGTAGGTACAAAACATGTGAAAGGCTGTGGATACATTGTGTTTATCCAGAACAGTATTACCGCATAGTGCTTTTTGAAAAGAACATTTATTGTCAACCTTTAAAAGTGGGAAGTTTTTACATTAAAAAAAAAATCAGATATTAGTATTCCTTTGGGGAAAAAACATAAACTCCCAAAATGCTGAGAGCCTTCATATCAGCATGAGACCAATTCCTAAGAGCTGAGTAGTGGCTGCTGCCTCTACTGTTGGTCTAAATAACCAATTACATTTGTTTTATTCACTATGGCCCCTGGTATGAACTAAGAAAGTATATCGTTCCTATTGAACTTTGTCTAAAGCATAAACCCAAAGGACATATATTTTGGGAGATAGCCACCAAGAACAAGTCTCCGGAATGAGCTTTATTCCTTAAGTAAAGGAATATTTTATTCTGCCTTCTACAAAATCAATTGATTTTTCTCCCATAATTTTCTGATAGATCAGAGGTCAGGTACATTTCTGGATTTTAATTTTAACCCTGGGCCAGTCTAGGTTTTCTAGACTTTGGAGTCATAGAACAGAGAGAGTTTTAAAGATCCATCACAGCTACACAGGTTATATGCAGGATTCGCCACATCACACTATCATGTGAATTCTTAAAGCTTGACAATGACTGTTACACAAGATTTTAATCCTAAGAAGTTCCTGCTGTGCGAAAATGAATGGCATAGACACGATTCGCAGCTAAAAGGATTAATAAAATCCAATCCGCAGATACTTGAAACAACAAAAGTTTTGAGTCACTTACCAGATTCACTTCATTTACTAAGGTTATCTTGTTATTGGACTGGCAGCTGGAACAAGTATCTGCAAAACATTCATTTTATTTGCATTCTGCCTTGTTCCAAAAAAAAAAAAGTCTTGATGCACTTTTTTAATAGAACAATTACAACCGAAAGTCTATTTTTTAAACTTAAATTTCTATACACTTTTAGCCACTTATTTATTCTGGTAACAAATTTAGTGTTTAGTGTTTCCCCTGCCATTTTTTTTTTCATACAATCTTGGGCATCTCAAATCTTTGGGCCAATTTAATACACGACAGTGCATTAAGATGTCCTTGTAGTTTAATTCAGTTAAGTGCAACAAACATTTGCTAAATGCATACAGTGGGGTAGGCACCACACTCGCATTAGATATACCAATATGAATCTTCATCCTTGAGAAGCTGAGAGCCTAACAGAAAAAAACAGAATGTCATTCCAGTGAACACATTCTACAGTAGTGGCAGCAATAGCTCCACTTGTCCCAGAAACCGGGACAGGTATCAAAGGCTTCTGGAGACGAAATCACCTGAGATTAGTCTTAAAATGCGGTTGTGAAAGTACCCTTCTTTCACACCGCAGAATCAGAGAGGAACTTGGCCATAAGCTTTGTGCAGACTTCTTTGTGGGGGCGGGAAAGAAGTCATTCTTAAAAAACACATGACAGACTCAGAAACATGCCTTAAATGTTAACATGCGTATGTCAATTCAACTTATCATTTACTAGCTTCACATTATATTTTGCCTCTATACAAGCTTGGCTGTTAGTTTCTTATCTCTGTAGAAACTAGGAACAGAGCAACTATATTTATTCTTTACCTAAGGCTTTTAGAATAGATATAATAGATAGGCTAAGAAATTCTGTATTTTTTTAACACAAAACTTCAATAGAGCTAATCAGTAAGGAGATTCCTTTTGTTTCCTACTAATTATGTTCAAGGACAACTCTGTAAGAATGTAGAATTCTAAAATTTATGCTATGCATTAATTTCCTGTTGTGTTTAACAAAACTGTGTCTCATATTTTGGTCTTGTTGTTTTTGTACTATAATCCTTCTAGAGAAAGTTGATTAATGAGAATCTGTTCACCAAACCAAATGTGGAAAGAACACAAAGAAGACATAAGACTTCAGTCAAGTGAAAAATTAACAACATGTGAATTGGACACTCCAATAAATTATATACCTAAATTGTACAATTTCAGAATGCAATTTTCATTATAATGAGTTCCAGTGACTCAATGATGGAAAAAAAAATACTCTACTCATTAATATTTCGAGATAAAGAACAAATGTTTCCTTGCATCTTTGTTTTTGTATGTTAGCATAATTTTTAGAATTGATTGAGAATTCTGATCCAAAACTTTAGTTGAATTCATTTATATTTGTTTAATACTAACTTAATCTATTCTATTGTGTTGTAATAATGGTGCTGTCAAATGAAAGGCTTGAAATACCTAGATGAAGTTTAGGTTTTCTTCCTATTGTAAACTTTTGAGTCTGGTTTCATTGTTTTAAATAAATTAAGGGGACACTAAAGTCCTATCATTTATTTCCTTCATTGCTGAACAGGCAAGATATAATATTACATGAATGATGATGATGATATACTATTACATGAATGATGATGATATTTTGTTCACACTAATAAAGCTTGATAAAATTTAAAAGAAATTTCTAGATATAGGGACTAAGTTCTGTGACTACACAGCTGTCACTCATTTATAGTGAAACTTAAAAAAAAAAACCTTCCTGTGATACTTTATTTCTAACCTAATAAAAATCTATATGACTTTTCATTGTTGTGTGATAATAAAGTAAATTTTTTTGTATATTTTCAGGCCTGGCAACTGAAATTTATTTTTTAATAAATTAAAAAAATCAAATTTTAACCTATTTGCTTCTTCAGAGAGTGTGTTTGTAATAAATGACTACGTAAAATAAAAAATGAGACTAAGAAGGGAACAATTCTTCATACGTGTTTTTTAAAAGTAATTTTAAGAGGATTATTAGGTTAATTTAATCCAATTAATGACCCAAATGCCAAGATAATTTTAAATTTACATTTTTAATAGAAACGTGTTGAAACAAGAGAGCATGAGATTAACCTTTTCGCTAAAGCAATTTACAATTCAAAGACGAGAAGAGATCAGAGTGAATGTGCCATCTTAACCAGAGCTACAGAATTTAGTGAATAATTAAAGTACAAATTACTTTAACCTCCTTGAACTTTTCCAAGCAATTTCTCTGTACTTCTATATATGAATGTCTTAGTCCATTTTCTGCCACAATAACAGAATACTACAGACTGGGTAATTTATAAAGAAAAAAAAATTATTTTCTTCCTAGTTTTGGAGGCTGGGAAGGCCAAGGGCATGGCACTGACATCTACCTTGTATCTGATAAGGATCTTCTTACTGCATTGATAACAAAGCAGAAAGGCAAGCAAACGTTTAAGATGAAGAGAGAGGAAATGAAGCCAAGCACATCCTTTTATCAGAAGCGCATTCCCTGTAGAAGGCGTTAGTCCATTTATGAGAATGGAGCCCTCATGACCTAATCATGACTCTAAAGGCCCTTCCCAACACTGTTACAATGGCAATTAAATTTCAACAAAGTTTCCAGAGGTGACATTCAAATCATAGCAATGAACTTTTCATAGTTAAATTTGGTATTTGTCGGGGAAGAAATGACCATTTCCCTTTTACGAAATCTTTCCTGTGAAGATACCATGACTCCATGGATGGCTCATGTAGGATTTCTTGAAATTGGGGCTGAGATGGGAAGGTTTGGTGATTCTGATTACGGAATTTTACTCTTCAGCCCTGAGTGTTTGTTTGTGTGGTTGTGAGCAAAAGGTCTAAACAACAGAGAATATAAATGCAGAAAACTGAGAGACATGGTGAAGAAAGAATGACCCTTTTTTGCAACAAAAACTTAGCTCTGAAAGCAACTTTGAATGGAGAGCCAAACAATGACATGGGGAAAGGGATACTTTGGTGATATTGATACACAGTGATTGAATAATAGCCCTTTGGTTTATTCTAAATATTTATCCTATCAAATGCAGCAAATTTCTCAGAAGAAACTCCTAAAAGCCAAATGTTATCTAAATAAAATTTTAGATTTATTTATATCTAAATTTAGATTTAAAATGCATAGGCCTCTCAACCAGTTCTAATGCATTTATGCCCTACATGGTATTTAGGGGGCATGTGCACTGCCAACTGCTAACCCACTTTTGGCATCTAGATCTTAACATGCCCTCTGAATCCTCACAGAACTTATACATATTTTGTGGCATTACTATGATCTGAATTCCACACCCTACTTGAATATGATTCATTAAGAGGAAGAAGTTTAATGCACTTTTGTAACTCCTAAGAGGCTTAACAAAATTTGCTTCTTATTTCATGAAGCCTATATTAATATTTAAAATGGCAGGATACACAGTGACATCTTGAAGGTTTGGTCTGGTGTAGTGTGAAAAGAGAACCGGATTTGGAGCCAGGGTTTGAGCATAACTTTGGCTTCTTTATCTGAAATCATCTGAAATATGATGATGAGAATAACTGCCTTGCAGAAATGTCACAAGATGTATATATTTATGTATACTTATATATTTATACAAAAAATGAAAAACAAGAAGAAACTATTAATATCAGTCCAAAGGGAAAAAATCACTACATCTCTCATGTAATGAGAGATAATCCTCACGTCAGTCACACACAACTTTTGTAATTCTCTCCCATACCATCTTAAATCTGAATAGTGTCTGGTTTATTATTTACATGTTGATGTAATGTGTAGAGTGATATTCTCCACAACAGTTTCCCTCAGACTAAAGCCTCTGGATTTTTTTTTTTAGTTTTGCATAGAAACTAAACCAAGAGTAACACATAAGGAGGAAGAGTGCAAATGCTTTTTGATGGAAAGAGGAATACTACAGCAAAAGATGACTCATACATGATTATATACACCATCTGCTTTTGTATGGGCAAATAAGCAGCTTTTTAGAACTAGCCCTAATTTATCTTTAAAGAATGCATACGTGTGTACTGAATTTGTATATAGCTGTGGAGCTTAGTATTAAACCATAATTAATACGAGATGAAGAAAAATAAAAGGATATGCACAGTTGTGTTTTAATAGTTTACCTACAAGATACTGTATTACTTGTCTGCAAAAGACACGACAGGTAGGTTTTGAAAATAGGAAATAAATCCAGTGAGGTCCGTTGTCTCATGCCTGTAATCCCAGCAGTCTGGGAAGCTGAGGTGGGTGGATCACCCGAGGTCAGGACTTCAAGACCAGCCTGGCCAACATGGTAAAATCCTGTTTCTACTAAAAATACAGAAATTAGCTGGTCATGGCGATGCAAGCCTGAAATACTAGCTATTCAGGAGGCTGAGGCAGCAGAATCACTTGAACCTGGGAGGCGGAGGTGGCCATGAGCTGAGATCACGCCACTGCACTCCAGCCTGTGTGCCAGAGCAAGGCTCCAACTCAAAAAAAGAAAAAAGAAAATAAATCCAATTATGGAGAAAATACAGTCATAGTTGTGTACCCTGATTTATGATTATTCATTTTTAAAAATATATTTATTATTTCCTAATTATTTACCCATGAAAAGAAATTACTTACTAAGAAGTATGATAATATTTCTTCTTAAATCTACAGTTATAATGTCAAAAGTGTGACCATAGACTGGGGGATCTTAAAATTGACAGCTGGCTGAGCAGCCTGGGGTGAGAATGGTGTAAAATACTTGTGCACAGGTATCAGAGCCAGGCCAGGGAACCACGGGAAAGGGAAGGTGAGAGCATTCCTCATCTGACCGATTGTGAAATTTAATACACTTATGCTTCCAAATTTGAACACTGGAAAGTGATGTAGACCATGTGGAAGATGGAAAGCAGGCTAGGCTTGATGCATCAGCACACCCTACCTGAACATAAAGTCATCACATGAAGGACAGCTGGAGAAGAGGGGGAGAGGAGTGGAAGAAAAGTGGAAAAGTGAGCTAGGCCCTGAAGAGCTGTGCATCCAGCTGTGTCTAAGCAAACATGACCTCTTCTCAGTGAAGGGAGCCAATAAGACCCTTCTTTGCTTAAACCAGTTTTTGAAATTAGGCTTTTTGTCATTTATGATAGAAAGAGTCTTAGCTAAAGTAATAGAAAATTAAAATAGCTGATTGGGCTGACACCTTATATCCAATAAAAACTGCATTCCAGGTTGACAAATAAGACAATACAGAATCGACAAAGGAAATGTCTAAAAATTGCACAATTGTACAACTCTCGCCAACAGCAAAGGTATAAAGCGTAAGGAGCTGGTGGCTGGATAAAAGGGAGTGTAGAGAAGAGAGCTGTTTGTCTGTCTTCAAGACCTCTCCCAAGGAGGAGAGGTGAGGAGGTTTTCCTCTCTTCACTTTGTCAAGAGCTCTAGAAAGTCTTGGGAGAACTTAAATGTGTCCTTGGAATGTTAGAGAATTCTGACTGTCACTTGAGAAACCCAAAGGGCAAAATGATGGTCCCAATCCTGAAAGTATATTAAGAAGAGATTGGAGAGCTGGGGATGACAAGCATTCCTAGAGTTTTAAGAGGCAATGGAAAAATGAGTTTCTTGTGGGCTCTATACACACCAACTGGAAAAAAAAATTGTTCCTGTGGGTTATCTTTGGTCATGTTGGAAATAACTTCTTAGAGAGGCCAATAACTTTTAAGAGAAAGAAAGTAGAAGTGTTGCCAGACATCTAATACTTTGTTTACCCATGAAGGCTGGAAGAAGGATGAAGGCAAACAACTGAAACAGACATGGATGGGAAAATTCTGAAGAACCCACAAGAGCACCTATAAGAGAAAGGTTCAAATGTAAATCTCTGCCAAGAGAAAATGTGAGATCACTGTGAAATATTGGTCTAGTCAGAACTTTTCTGCTCCTTTACCTAGTTTTTTCCTTCCCATGTTCCAATGCCAGAGGGTTTGAAAACTTTGAGTAGCAAGCTGGAAGAAAAGGAACAAAGTCTCCAGTTTTGGGTGGGGGAGGAGAAGTTGACCACATCATTCCTTTCCTGAATCCAGGGAAAAGAAGGAATAAAAACATTAATTTTAAAGGAGAACGGAAATGTTGATTATTGCATTGGAATAGATATTTTAATTACAAACTGGGGAGCCATTTGTATTAAATAATGGTGACCAGAAGAGTGACGGGGTGTTTAGGCAGAGGAACAATGCAAGGACTGACTAGTTCTACAGAAGACATTTAAAAGGATACAGGAGACATGACTCAAATTATTTTTAATTGAATTCTATAAGTCTTGTTTACTTAATACAACTATTATACAGATAGAAGTATTAATGTAGCAAAAGCATTTGTTAATAACATAGATAAGGCATAATGGGAAAAAAGACTTACACATTATTAGTAACTGTAAATTGACTTAAAGGCAATAGAGCAATGTATTCCAAAATTCACAAATTTATCTATACATTTTTGGCCCAGTATTTCTATTTTGAAGAATGTGCTCCAGTAGAATTACAAAAAAAGTGCAAATTATTATTTTTTAATTGAGTTTACATATTAATACCATCAACAAATAGCAAAAAGAAAATAACCCAAATGTTTACTAACTTAGTAATATCTACATTATAATTTACATATTAGCATATTAACCAAATAGACTATTATGTAGCCAATTTAAAAGTACATGTAGACTTTGTTTACAAGTCAAATGTGTGTATAAATGAATTTTTAATAAAAAATAGAAAACGTATAGTTATTCTGAACTAAAAAATATATATATAATGCATAAATTTTAAAGCCTAGAAGA